TGTTCCTGATTTCAGGGGAAATGCTTTCAATTTTTCACCATTGAGGGTGATGCTTGCTGTGGGTTTGTCATATATAGCTTTTATTATGTTGAGGTATGTTCCTTCTATTCCTGCTTTCTGGAGAGTTTTAATCATAAATGGATATTGAATTTTGTCAAAGGCTTTTTCTGCATCTATTGAGATAATCATATGTTTTGGTATTTTTTGCCACCCAAGGGGATGCTTTGAATTGTTACCCAGTGGTATTGGTTGGCATAGTTAATTATCAATGGTGGCATCACTAGAGAAAGAAATGGTACCCACTCCAGTATTCTTGCCTGGAAAATCCCATTGACAGAGGAGACTGGTGGGCTACAGTCCATAGGATTGCAAAGAGTTGGACTTGACTTAATGACTAAACAACAACAATCACTGACTATCACACTGCTTTTGATGACTGTAGGTGTTTCCCCAGCTCCTGGACTCTGTGCCTCCCTGCCAGGATCCTTCTTTATACCTGACTTTTCTGCTGTTCTTCCTGGCTTGGGATGGACAAGAGACATCAAGCTGTTACATCCACCATCCTAGGGTTTCCTTTGGAACCACGCTGAGTAGTTGTGGTCCTGGAATCCACTTTGCCATCTTCACAGCATGCTGCTTGGCCAGAATCCTCCAATAAGTATATTTGCCAATCTGTAATCCTTTTTCTTTTATGTCCCAGGAAGGAAAATCTATTCACTGTTTCTTTCTTTGGGGCTCTGCTTGGTTGTCGTTGCTACACATGGGCTTTCTCTAGCTGTGATGACCAGAGGCTCCTCTTTAGTTGGGGTTCATGGCCTTCTCATTGCAGTAGCTTCTCTCCTTTTGGGGCACAGCTCAAGGGTGAGCAGTAGTCAGTAGCTGTGGCACGTGGGCTTGGTTGCCCCACAGCATGTGGCGTCTACCCAGACCAGGAATGGAACCCCCATCCCCTGCAGTGACAGGTGGATTCTTAACCACTGGGCCACCAGGGGAGTCCCGTCCACTGTTCTGAGAGTATATTCCTAGATCAGAAACTCCTGAGAATTCTCCACCTGCTGGAAGTGAGCAGAAAAGCCCCACAGCCTGTATCTTCTGTCTCTCTCCCTTTCTTCTTTGCCTTCCTGTGAAATTCTCATGACCTGGGAGTAAAGGAATGTTTGGGAATCTGTTTAATTTTTTATGAAAGTTAGAATGTTTCTAAGTTAAATATCCTAACTTGTTTTCCCTTAGTCATAACTAAGTTGCACGTGTCAGGAAAAAGTCACACTTTCTGGGAGTAGATTAGGCAGGGGTAGGGGCCAAGGAAGAGAGCCTATGAATGAATCCACATAGAAATAGTAAAAGGTTCTGATCCTCTGGGAGGAAGGAGAAAAATAGCAAAACCCTGCTGGGCTGTATTTTATCCATTATGTCTGCTGAGAAATTAGGGTCAGGACCCAGAAGCTTTGCGCTATCTCCCGGTGTTTGTTTCAGCTTAGGTGGGGTGGGCTTCTCCCTTTGATGGGTCATTTCCTTCTCTCCTTTCACATTCCAGGCTGCATTAAGATGACAAATTTCACTTACAGGGCTTGGGCACAGACATGAAAACTTGAGCTATTGAGCTAACAGAGTGAGTGCAGAGGAGTCGATTTATGGTGGGGAGAATGGGGGTGTTTGAGGAATGCAAAAGTTCCGGAGAGCTCAGCTCTGCATCCGAGCACAGACGGGATGGCCCAGGTGCTGCTCCCCACCCCAGACCCTCCCTCTTAAACCTCATCACAAGTCTCAAGAGTGGAAGAGAAAGGCGAAAGGGATTAAGAAATGTGTTTAAAGCTCATGCTCACATCCTAGACTGCATCGCTTGCACATGAAACAGTTTTTTGGACATAACCTTGTAGAGGGCTTTGCAGAAATATTTAGGGTAAAATAGGTAGAATAACAGTCCTGTGTCCTTTTCTATCTGTGAACTGTGCAATAAATACTTCTCTTTTCTTACCCCTCCTTTAGCAAGGGAAAAAAAAATCTTGGACGACAAAGAGCGAGTCCATCACATCAAACATGACTGCGTTAAATGCTGAAATGTTCAAAGTCCGACTGAGATAGATAAAGGCTTTGATGGAAAGTGGATATTTCCCAGGGACATTACAAGCAATAATCCAGATGTTAGAGTGTAATGCAACGAGTGTCCCTGGATTGATCAGGAGCTCCAGCCAAGCCGGGTCTGGTGTAGGCCTTTGCCTTGCCCTCCCATGCTGTTCCGCCATATGGAACCTATCTCTGAGTCCCGTTAATAACCAGCTTTGGATTCCATTTTCACAGAGCTCATAGAGCTAAGTGGGGCTGTTTTATGGACAAGTTAGATAGAAGCCTTTCCAAGATAAACATCCAATTTGAAATTAGGACATACCAAGCCACAAAATTATTTTAGGGCATATTTCATGGAAACACTGCCATTTTTCTTAGGCAATTGCCAGACTGTAGGATGCCCTTTGATCCCTTGTGGACATTACTCCCTTCTTTATAAAAAGGATTTTGAAATAGTTGCAGTGTTTAGGGAGGAATATATCTGTCGGAACTTTGAAGCATGGCCCTGGGACAGGTCATGCTTCAGCTTATTGGCTGGCAAGTCAAACTTTAAGAAGAAGAAACATAAAAAAAGAAAGTGCAGCAGGATATATGAATCAAATTCTCATTTTCTTTTTAAAGATGGAAGTTTTCAGCCTGTGTGCTTAGTAAGCTAGAGAATGTTTTAAATGTATCTATATGCACACACATAGAATATAAACACATCTACATATGTATTTATATATGCACCTGTCTATACATTCTGATGGTATGCATTGTTTTAAACAAATACAAAGTTACTTAACTTTATTTAATAGATTTTCATGATTGAATGTATTCTTTGTATAACCCCGCTTCAGATAGAAGTTAGAGAAAGAATTGTTCCTGTTTTCAAGAGGAGAGGGTTTTTTCTTTTTTAAACAAATTATTTTACCGTCTCCCTTTCCTGTTCTGTTTCTGCACCTTCAGAACTCTGTGTGTGTGTGTGTGTGTGTGTGTGAATTCCAGTTTCCAGAGAAAAGCAACCAAGATATGAAATTGGGAGTATATATTTCTGTAAAATATTTTTGTTTAAGGAAATCACAAAATGATCCAAATGCTCGGCATTATTGCATCACTTATTAAGAGGGGTGGAGTGACGTGTGTTGGATGAGGTAAGCTGGCATGTAATTAACCCGGCACTTACATACCATTCATTGTGATGAATTGTGAGTAACTGGTGTCCAAGAAAATTGATACCTAAATGATCTCAAAGATAGAGTGAGCAGATGACAGGAATGAATATATAATGATAGAAATTCATTGCTCTACCGTGATGCTCGACACTGTCTACATTCTTCAGCCCATTTATTTCTCCTTCAAATTAAGCCATCCACCCTCATGGCAGTCACTTACTGAATGGAGAATGTGGATGAATTCTGCCAACTGAACACAGCCTGTGGATCGTGTCAGGGACTCTCACTCAAACAAACTCACCATAAAACGACACTGTCCAGACCTTCAGGGTATTTAACGATATTAGAGGAATAGACATTACTTGCGTGGAGTGTGATCATGGCATGGTGCTTATGTAAAAACAGATAAGTATTTTGCTTTCAGATATTTCAGCCAGAGAAAACGTTAGTGAAGCAGGGAAAGATGTGATAAGATTGACAAAATGAGCACATGGAGGTTTGTTGCGCGGCTCTGTGTGTGTGTGTGTGTGTGTGTGTGTGTTTGAAGAGTTACATAATGGAAATTAAAAATAAAGTGTGCTTGCCCTCTTTATGATTTAATTATAGGGGATATTTGCCTTCTTCTATATTCTGTTTAAGCTGTGTGTGATATAGAAAAGGAAAAAAAAAAAAGAAGATAACAGTTACTGAACACTTACTGGGTCCCAGGCCCTAGTCTGTATTTGTTATTCAACTTTCCCCTCCCACCAGATCTGCAGAGCTCATTTGGCTCTCAAGCCGATTATAGGCTGTATCTCGACCTGTGAATCTTGCAGTATTATTAGGCTTTTTTGTTGTCCCCTAAGGGATAAGGCTCAGCAGTAAAGAGTCTTCCTGCAATGCAGGAGATACAGGAGACTCAGGTTCAACCCCTAGGTCGGGAAGATTCCCTGGAGGAGGAAATGGCACCCAACTCCAGTTTTCTTGCTTGGGAAATCCCATGGACAAAGAGGCCCATGGGCCAGCAAAAGAGTTGGACACAACTTAGTGACTGAGCACGGCAAGAAATAAAGGGAGGTGGGGACAGATTCAAGTGTGAGGGATAAACTCAAAGCCGTAATATCGAAATGCCAAGAAGTGGTTTGTTTCCCTGCAGAGCAGTGCCTGGTTCTTATATCTCTGTTTCCCAGAATGCCTTTCTTCCCTTCCTACTTCAGAGTAGCCAGAGGCCCATTTGGAAGATTCTGCCAAAGAGCACGTGTGGGTGGTCGTGAAGGCCGGTGCCAGGTGCAAATGTTGTTTGAATTCGTCCTTCACTGGAGGCTCCGAGTCCAGTGCTTGAGAAGGAAGTCACGTAACTGTGACTGCAGGTTTACAGAACCAGTGAAGAATATTAACGCAGTCACTTAGGCAGGGAGTGCTGTTTCTCATGAATATTGAAAGCTGGACCACCCCCTCTGATCACCAAAGTCACACTCAAGAATTATCAGCAAGTTTATATGTCATCTTTATTTCTTTGCTTTAGTCCTCTTTGATACGCAACCTCCGGCTCTCAGAGTCCTTGAAAAAGAACCAACTCTGGAACGGGATTATAAGTATAACTTTGTTGGAAGGAAGGAATGTCTCAGGCGGAAGCGTGGCAGAGATGTTTGTCCAGTTAAAACTGGGAGATCAGAGGTATAAAAGTAAGGTAAGTTCTGTCAATTCCTTAAGGAGAACAGTGTCTTTAAGATGAAAACAATGGGAAAAAAAATGTATGTTTTCCCCTGCTAAACTTTGCAAGAATAGAATTTATTTTTAACTCTCCTGTGTAGATTAGGAGCACCCCAGAAAACAAAATAAATGTACAGATGCTGTCTGTTAATATGGGCATTTGATTGCTTAATGTCATTTATTTTAATATAGTCACTGGAGCTAGAGAAAGCTTATTAAACAATAGATTTGAATGCATGGCTTATTTTCATTTTGAAAATAAACAACTGTGTTTCAGAGATTGTGCTGAAAAGGATTACTAAATGTTTTCAAAAATCCTACAAAAATAAAATAGTGTAATATGTTATATTTGAATTAAAATACTTGAGTTAAACTAACTAAATGTATTTTCAAAATTACACACTCCTGGCTTTCTCTACCTTGTTGATACGAACACCAAAAATAGACATCTAACACTGCTGTTTGCTTGCTCTGGTTTTTTTTTTTTTAAGCTATCTAAATGTATTAAAAATGATTTGTTTTGAACAAAAGTAATAGTTTTTTTTCTTAGCCGTCTTTAAAAATCAATCATCTTATTCCACTGATCCAAATTCCATTTAATTTTTAATCTCAGTAATTCGGTGTGGTTTTTATTTCAAAAACCCTAGTCTCCAAACCATGGTAATTAATTAGTTTTACATAACTGTCAGACAGGAATATTTCCTATGTTTTATGGATTGAGGGAACTAGGGTACTTGAAAGTTAAGTCACTTGCCAAAAGCCACATAGGAAGAAAAACATCAGAGTGGAAGACTTTGAAAATAGGCCCAAGGGTATTTGCAGTTGGGGCTTTCCAGTGTAGCGGACTTAACTGAAGCAGACTAGTTAGAGGATGACTTAGTGGGACAAGAGGTTGTCTCTGCTGCACAACTTTCAGTGCAAAATCAAATATTAAAGGTCATTTACTCCAGCGCAAGCAGTAGAGAACTGAAGCTCATGTTGAAGAATTGTTGATTATGAGAAATGCAGAAAATTGAAGCAAAGTTAAGGCCAAAATGTACAGATGATAATTTTACGCAGGCAGTTTTAGGCTGTACCTCACAATGAGTGTATCCAGGATAAGCACAGCTCTCCATTAAGATTCCTTTAACCATCCAGCATCAGGGTAAGGATTTATAGAAAAATTATTCATCACTAAGCGCACTTACCCTTTTAGACTAAGGTGAAGTGTAGAAAGAGTCCAGTATCTGCTGCATTCCCCCTTGGGGAATATTGCACTTAATTTGTGATCACATGGGCTTTTTTTCCTGCATAGTTTCTAAATTCTGTGATCTGATATATTTAAACCCAACGATGATGAAAAACAGCGTAGATGATGTTATGTGATGTTGGCTGCAGTTGAGGTCTAAGCAGTTCATTTTTTCCCATGCGAAGAAACTTGGCCCCAAGATTTAATCATTGGCCCTGAGTTCCTGGTATTTAGTGGCCCACATTTTTGCTCACTTTTTATTCACAAATTGAATCTCTGTGTAAATGAAACAGAAAAGAAAGTCTTGCCAATGAATCAAACACATAAGCAGTTTGAAATCCCTCTTGGAGAACATGGAAACACTTGTGGAGTTTTCCAACCACGCATGTTCATTTTTAGGTTTGGCTGCAGTGGAATTTCCTAGTCTTCCTCTGACTCCAGTGACTGGATTCAGGAAATTTGAATTTAGAAATAGGCAGTCACATACAAGTTATGGGTTTCTCCTGTAGTGCATCTGACAGATGTTAATTAAGATCCCAGATTGTTAATTTATATAGTTCTTAAGCCAGTGCTGAAATGGATGTGCCAATAAAAATGTTATTTCCATTTGATTAACCAATTAGAAGTATCTTTTGTAAGAGAGAACAGCTATAAAATGTCTATTGAGATATAATATTATATAGAGCACATAGCTCAATAGTCATTATTATATATGTGTAATAAATATTATCCATGTATCAAAAATAGATATTTTGTATACCTATAGCATTTATTGTTTCTTTGGGGATAACAGTGCTCTTTCTAATTTGGTGGATAAATGAGTGAATCAGGGGGTCAGCTAAAAGAGTATGATGTTTTGCCAATTCTTAAAACCTCGACATGCCTTTCATTTCCAAAAAGGAAAATTTTAACTGTGTAAGAGTGATCATAACCATCATTATGATCGCCTTCCTGCTGTTTAGAAATGAAATGAATGTGTAGCTGCTATAGTGATGAATGCCATTTTAAGAAAATAAATGTTATAACTGCATGTTTTCTAGACACTGTGTAAGAGTGCAAATCCGCAGTGGCGGGAACAGTTTGACTTTCACTACTTCTCTGACAGGATGGGCATTTTGGACATTGAAGTGTGGGGAAAGGACAGCAAAAAGCACGAGGACCGTTTGGGCACGTGAGTCTCTTCTGCTTTCTAAACAGTGGGAGACGCGTCTGCATGAGGCTGGTCTACAGCATTGTCTTTATCTGGCTGAGCTTAGAGTAAAACCTCATATGCCCACCCCAAGGAGCTATAAGTTAGCTGGACCTTAACCCAGGGAAGACTTTTTCATTTATTAACTGGTATATGCCACTGAGTATTGATTACAACAGAAGAAAATCGTTGCATGTCGGGAATTCTCTAAAGAAAGATAATGTCCCATCTCAGACTCTTTGGGAAATGCTGGTATAAGTTTCCAATGTACTCTATGAGTTTGGTTTTGCTATTTAGTGAAAATACCATATAATTCAGGAACACTATGAAGGTAGGTGTTCCAAATTGATGGAAAATTTCCACTGTCCTCTGTGAACTTCGTGGCAAATCATAATGAAATCTATTGAGGCCAGGTCAGCTTTATTTGTGTACTTTGGATCTTCCAGACTTAATTGAGGTGCTTGCTTGTATATAATGAGAAATATTGTAAGTATTTATGGTTTCCCTATAGGATTATAGGAAGACTATAGTTAAATGCGATTCTGCCCACATTGTGGCTGCCTCATGCCTCAGCATGAAGGAGATGCTGGTGGAAGCATACATCTCTGATCTTCCTGGGAAGCCTGCAAGTTCACAATATTATCCTTATTTTATAGATGAGGGAATGGAGTGCTGAGGTTTGCAGAATCTTGGCAGAGTAGTGAGTGCGAGAGTCAGGATTATCTGTTTTCAGAAACCAAGTTTTTTCTCCCAGACCACTACATTTTGTTCAGCCCATTAGGGATCCAGTATGTCCACCCATCCTAAAGTTAGAATACAGCATTTAAAGGGCTCTCAACATCTGTTTGTGGTCTTTTTCAAACCAAGCTCCCTAGAGCCCTGGGTTCAGGGAGGTGCGATGGGGTCAGCCTTCAGGATAATCAGGCTTTTCTGAAACCAGAGCATCTCCACTTCTGCCTGTGCGCTGCAGCGGAGCTCGTTCCAGGCAAGAGTTTTACTGCTGGAAATAAAAGATTGAGAGCCCTTCATCCAGTAGAACCCCTTCATTTTTCAGATGAGGAAGCCCAGAGGTCCAGAGATGTTCTCTTTTTCTATCAGCAAGGAATTTAGGGGCCAAAATAGGCTGTGCCCCAGCGAACCCCAAACCAGATGCAGTGTTTTTTTTCTGTGTAAAATGCTTAGCAGAGGTGGTTGCATGAAACATCAGTTCTCTTTGCTGCTGTTATCCCATCCCAGGATTCTTGGGCTTCTCTTGTGACTCAGCTGGTAAAGAATCTACCTGCAGTGCGGGAGACCTGGGTTCGATCCCTGGGTTGGGAAGGTTCCGTGGAGAAGGGAAAGGCTACCCTCTCCAGTATTCTAGCCTGGTGAATTCCATGGACTGTATAGTCCATGGGGTCACAAAGAGTCAGACACGACTGAGTGACTTGCACTTTCATCCCATCCCGTCTCAGTAACTTATCCTGAGACACACAGGAGGAAGTTTGGAGACCATGGCATGTTCCTCCATGCCTGTCTGCAGAGGCACCCTGTCGACAGAATGGTCTGGTTTGTCCCAGGGTGCTTAATAAACTGGGCTCTCACCCCCCTGATGGCAGCACTGTTGCCCAGTTATCGTGTGGAACACACACACACACCCCCACATAAACACTGGCTAGGAGGGCCGGGCTGCCTCCAACTGAGACCGGGGTGCTCTTCCTGCCATGTGCGTGTCATGGCCCCGGTTCCATTGCTTTGCATAGCCTGCTCATCCCCAGTTCTCTGCTGCTCTGGTAAGTAGTAGCTGTGCTTCCCTGGAGATCTGCAGGGCCTTTGGGCACCAAACTAGGTCCTGTCACTCTCCTGCGCAGGAGAGAGGTCTTCCAGTGGTCCAGGATGCCTGATTTTTCTCTATCAGATGCTTTCCTAGTCTCCCTGCTCCTCCGTTCCCACAGGATAACTTAGACACCCGGGTGTTCTCAGCGCCTCCCACGTGACAGCCCCGTGCCCTGCCAACACCCACGGCAGAAGGATCAGTCTGTGCTAGCCAGCGGAGCATGGATAAGTCACGTCAGTGCCCAGATGCAGGGAACTCTGTGTCCCAAAGCGTTATCTGAATGATGGCATGTGAGCCCCTGGTGATGGATGGCCCGTGTGTTATTTCAGTAGGTGCAGAGAGTAATGGCCTTTCATTTCATGTGTCATTGTGCCGTCGTGTTTCCTTCACATAGTAGGAAATGCTTTTTCAAATGAGTGTTAAGTTTCTTTACAGACACAGAAAATAATTGGAGATGTCCCTCTTATGCCATGTTTTGTCATCTGGGTCTTCATTTATTATTTGCACTGTTTCCTGTTTGTAACTTAGACATATACCTGCCCCAAGTGGCCATTCTGCCCTTCCGCTTCATGGGCTTTAATGGAATTTTTTTGGGTATCCTTTTCCTTTTTCCTCTCCTGAGGTACAGAAGATAACAAAAGTGTCTCTTGGGTTGGCTACACAGCGTTACCCAGAGTGAACTTTGAGATGGGATGAGACATCCCCTAAAATACACCACTGCTTGTCATAGTGAAAGGAGAGATCGTGTTGGCATATGGATATCACAGACCTTGTTACGTACTGTTCCTTCTTACATAAAAGTGTTCACTCTTTGTTTTCCTGTTCTTTGTTGTAATTCTTAAGGATCAGTTATTTTCTCTCCCAATTCTTGGGAGAGAAATCTGCCTTTTTGTGTCAGGAGGGTCTTTGGCAATGTTGAATGTTCTCAGACCTATCTCAAAATTTGTCTTTGGATAACACCATGATGCTAGCAATTTGAAGTTCTGCACGGCCTCTCTGAGAGAGTCTTCCCCCACTGAAGCTTCCCCTGGCAGGCATTGTGAGAGGAGGGAAGGAACACTGAGTTGTGTTTCCTCGGCTATCTGGTAACCACAACACTTGAAAGCTAGAGACCTTGGGCAGTGGCCTTTCTTGTGGTTTTTCCATCTGTGTAACAGGGTCTTCAGCCAACATGCAGGTCATCATGGCAACCGGCAACCATGTTATTGTTGGTTGCTATTATTACTCCTATTAATTTTGAGATTTTTTTTTTCCTGGAGAGAACTGCAGATCCCCAAAACTAAATTGTGCTATTTAAGTATTTGAGATATGACTGCTTAAAATTCAGCTCAATTTTGTTTATTCAAAACAGAACAGAGATTTTTTTGTGTGTGTTTTTTGGTACAAGTGAGCAGTGATTATCTTCCAGGATGTGATGGGAAGGATATTTATTGACTGGAGAACTGAACAGTGTCAGTTAGCCTGACCAACATTGGTTTTGTAGCTGTGGACGGTGGTCGACTGGGACAGTGGTCAGTTATGGCCATACCTGGCATTTGTGTTGGCATTGGTGGGTTGCTAGCTCAGTGATAGTTTAGGCTTGTTCCGCCTCCCCAGCCACCATGGCAGCCAGCCTCCTCCAGGCTCTCCTGAGTCCTGGGGAGCTTTCTGAAATTCCTTGTGTCCTCACGGTCCACCTGTGGGCTTCTGCTGAGCCACAGGTAACTCCTGAGGAGGTCAGGGCTGGTGAGACGAAGGTGCTTGGGCAAACCAACACCCCACCCCCCAATCCAGGGTGCCTGCTAACTCAGGTGTTTATTCATGGGCCAAAAAAAAAAAAAAAAACCAGACAGTCGTTTGAGTCCATCATTGGTCCAGAAACAGTGGATTTTTAGGAGCAGTAAGAAATAAAGCTAAATATAACATGCCCCAACTTTTAAACAAAATGGCAAGAGAAGAAATGTAGGTTAGTCTTCTTGTCAACCTGCACCATTTCAACATCATCATACCATTTTCTTAAAGTATATTTTACATTTCCCTGTGATTCTGGTGATTAGTTTGTTGCAGAATATTCTAGCTTCCAAGGTGGCAGTGGTAAGGAATCTGCCTGCAAATGTAGGAGACACAAGAGATGCAAGTTCTATCCCTCAACTGGGAAAATCCCCTGGAGGAGGAAATGGCAACCCACTCCCATATTCTTGCCTGGAAAGTTATGTGGACAGAGGAGCCTGGTGGGCTACAGTCCACGGGGTTGCAAAGAGTCAGACACGACTGAGCATGCATGCGCAGTCGCATGCAGACTTAGTTTGGGAAAGTTAAGGAGGAAAGTTAAGCCTATGCATGCACAGGCTCCTTTTCACTGGGCTGCCGCAGAGCCAGTCCTGAGTCCTATGTGGTGCCTTGGAAAGGGGCTCTGACGTGCTGCCCATTTACGGGTAACCCCAGCGCGCAGGAGACTCGGGCTATTTCTTTGGGCAGATCACACCCCATGTCGCTGATCTGCTTTTACAGCAAGCTTGACACAGTCACCATTTGCTTCCTGTTCACCCCCGTCCTTAGCCTCTGAGATTTACAGCTTTTAAAACTCTAGGACTCTTTTCTGCCCCCTTGCATTTAAGTTAAAAGCTGACCAGTCTCTAATATAAAACATAGAATTATGGTAATGAATAAGAGGTTAAAAGCTATCATGGCAAGTGGAACTTAGCAGGTTTGGCTGACTGATATGGTAAAAATTATGTGTTGAATTAAAACATTAAAATGTGGTGGGATTAATGGAGAAAGACAGGAACAGCAGGTCAGAAACAATGCTAAATCAACACATTAACTGCCTGTGGGCTGGAGAGGCTGGCTTTAATATATGCAGAGAAAAAAATAAAGCTTGCCGAGGGAAAAAAAAAAAGAAGAGTAATTTAGTCATTGTTTTCTCCAGGTGAATAGAAATGCAGACATCTGAATCTGGGAGGCGTCCAGTACATATATTTCTTTCCCTTTCTTTTTTATATAGAGGAGGAAATAGACTCTACAAAATTCAGTTGGTTAACAAAAAAGAAACACTGACTTTATAATTTGGAGTGTTTGACTTTGAATTTTATTTTGCCACTAGGATTCATTTTGTTTGTTCGTTCATTTTACTCAACAAACTCTGAGCATGTTGTGGATCAGACATCCTACCAAAAGCTGGGGGTTCACGTGTGGATCATGTCCTCAGGCACTAGGTTGTGGGCAGCTTTCTGGAAGAAGAGCGTCTCAGCTGAGACCTGTAACATGGGTGGTGGTTAGCCTGACTAGATTGGAGAAAGAGCGTTTCAGGAAGTTGGGACCTCATGGGCTTAGAGAGAGGAGGGAGAAGAGGTTCTGAGAAACTTGAAAGGAATGTGAGGAGTGGGTGATGTCAGGCAATCAGACTGGAGCGGAAAGCTGGAGTGAGGTCACAAAGCCATCGGATTCCATCGCCTGCCCGTGAACCACGGCTGGACCTGGCTAGACCCAGACACACCGGTGCCCTGCTCCTTCCTGTCCACCGCTTGTTCCCACAGTGGACCTCTGATGAACTGAATGATCTACGACCTGACTTCAGAACGATGATTTCCTGGTCCCCTAAGGGCCGGTGTGTAGCACCTGTTGAATTATGGTCCACCCGTGGTCAATCCCCTTCTCCGTGGAGCTGCACATGAGACGCCCTGAGAGCATACCTGATTGGCTAATGCTCATTACTTGTGTGTTTTGCATGGAAGCTCTGCACACTGTTTTCCACATTGTCTCTTTCAGTAGAGTTTCATAAGTTTTACTGCTTTATTGGTTTTTGTTAACAAACACGTCTTTGGATATGTTGGCCAGAGTCTCTTGGGCTATGGTGAGTTATTAGGTATTTTTCCTTTTAAATTGTTCATAGGGCAGTTATCTCTGATACCTTTATCAATGTGTCTGTACTGTCATTTACTAACCTGGGAAGAATTTTAAATACTTTCCCTGTTGTAATTCATCACAGTTGAATGATTAGCATTTCTTTAGATTAGGGGTCAGCAAACTAGGACCCGCAGGTCAAGTCCAGAAGGCTGCTTGTTTTTGAGTAAAGTTTTATTGGAAAAGAGCACTGTTCATTTGTGTCCGTTGTCTATTACTGATTCCATGCTACAGGGGAGAGTTCAGTAGTTGTAGCAGGGACCATGTAGCCCCAAACACTCTCTGGCCCTTCATAGAAAAAGTGATCTTCATGCCCCATCATTTATTAATGTTGGTGTGGTTTTTAATGATAATTGGAACATTCATTATGAGAGCCTTTTAAAGCACGTATCCAGAAACTGAGTTTATTTTTCAAAGAAAATTTGCATCTAGAGAAGTTAGCTTAGTTTTCATCAAGCCTCATATGGGCTTGCCATTTGCATAGAGTTTGGGAAGAAATTTGGGGGATACAAAAGAGAAAAGAGCATATATGACAATACCTGCAAAATTCTAGAATTGATGAGTGAGTGAGTTGTGTTTATAAGAATGAGCAGGCATGAGCGAAGGAGGAGGGGGTGTTTTGCGTTGCTGAGGAGTCTGGGCTGGATCCATACTTCTAGGCATCCTCAGGGGCCAGCTCTGCACTTCACCTGTAACTGGTTACTAAACAGGTAACAGAAAGCCTTGGGGAAGAGCAACAGAGTGTCTAGTGCTTCAGGAGCGGTGAAAAAGATTGAAGCGCTGGCCAGATTATTTAGTATTTTCTCGGGGTAGAATGTGGTACCCTGTAGAAAATGAATGGAGCAGCCCAGAGTCTCCCTTTAAGATTTTTGTATTAAACTTGTCTTTGGTGAATGTATTTCAGAATGATTATATCTTAAAGATTTTATTTCCTTACACCTGAAGAAGGTCATTTTGTTCACATGATACTCACCTCTCTTCAGAAGATTCAATGAATATTATGGTAAAAGTGTTGTGAAATATGGAAGAAAAGTTCTTATTTTTTTCTTCCACTGCTTTTGCTGGTCATACAGTAACCAGGTCCAAGCTTGGGGTTAATGTAACTATTTCTTCTGCTTCTGACTAACCTCCCAAGCATTCTGGTTCTCCTTCCAATGTGAAGATGAGCTGAAGCCGTGGAGACAGAGGTTGACACAGAAAAATGGAAGGCCTGAAGGAAAGGGTTTTGTATGAGAGTCATTTCTTCTCACTCTCTTCTTCCCTCCTTTCTTCCAGAATGTGGAAGTGAATGGGGCAGCCAGCTGGATAGAAGAGATGGGGAGAGAGCAGTTCAGTTCTAGAAAGTTCATAGAAAGTCACCCTTAGAGTTGGTGGTTAACACTAGGGAGAAGGTTGTTTTACATTAATTCTTAAGACTAAAGACGTCAGTGTTTTAAGAATCGATTAATTCATATGATGGGGCAGGGACCCTAAGAGACGGGGGTCATAATCCATGTGCAAAAGGATCAAGGATTAATTTTGACTCACCCGATGCCGTTGTATCAATTTAATTTGCTCTTTCAGGTCACTGAGAAAAGAAAAGTAAGCATTTGATTGAATTCACTCATTAATTAACTGAGAATGTAGAATCCATTAGGTTTGTCCTGAAATTACCTCATCTGGTCTTTATGTGGCTCTTATAACTAAAATAGGCAAGACTGTTTTTTTTGTATAGGGATTCTTTCTTTGTTATCAAAATAAACTTTAAATATGAGATAGGTGCAAAAGTTTCCTAGTGAGCAGAAATGATTGAAAAGTTTGTGAAAATGTGTAATTTCTGAGACAAAACCAAATATTTAGTTTGATGTGATTCACACTTGTTTAAATTAGTAAACTGCTGTGTTTAGGGAAGCTGTTCCTTTAAATAGGAGTATAAATAAATAAATATTCTCCTATTTAAGGTTACTACTAGAGAAAAGTCTTAAACAAATTTGGATCATTCATCCTTCCATAGAAAGAGTTTTATTAAATGAAACTGTATATAAAGGTGTAAAATAATGCTTAGCAAATGTTCTTAAACAGATGCACTACTGCTGTACTTATTTAGAATTTGCAGGTCCTTAGTTTTGTAGAAATGGCACAGTTAAAGCACTTGACATTTCTTCTCCAGCAAAATTAACTCCCCACTCACATACTTGCTTACAAAATTTACTCACCTCTCTGTTCACAGTAGTAAACTTACCACTACAGAAAAATTTTTGATTCAAACCATAGAGGGTTATTTAAATATGTATGCATAAATTTTTTTAACATGTCTCCAGTAGAAACACATGATGAATTTATTACACGTAAAAGCTCTAATTGCCACCTCTTCTTATAACTGGAATCACTTGGTAATTTGAAAATAAATACCCACATAAATTTAATTTTATAGGTACGTATCCCTTCCTGTAAAAATATTTTTTATTCTGTACTAAAAATAGGCATAGACTTTTAATATTGGTAGTTTTTCTCTTTAATTGGGAAGGGATTGCGAGCTTTCTTTCAAATTTATATAACTGGAACTTTTTCCGTATCCGTGTGGCTCAAAACTGTCATTGCTTTATATATGAGGTAGGTTTGCCTATTTGCTATTGTCTGCAAACTTTAAAAGTGCATGAGTGACGTGGGTAAGAATCTATCCTTGTCCGATATCATGAGGCGGTGCGTCCATGTTTTAAATAAAGTCTTGAATAGTCATCCAACTCAGTAACTAGAGATGGCAAATGAGAGAGAAACCCGCACAGTGCCCTCCCGCCCTCCACGCAGCCCTGCTACATCACCCACCTGGACGGGAACAAAGCAAGTGAGGTCCAAGCAATCCCAGGGTTTTCCGTGTTAAAGCAAATAAATGGCTTAGCACCTCAGCCCCCCTTTTCAGTGTTTGCTTCTGTATTTAAATGTGCTTGAGGTTTTCAACATCACCAGAACATTGACTGTTAAGAGGCGGAAAACATGCAATTTATAGCAGATGGGTGCAGCCTTTTCTGGCTGCGCCGCTGAAATGGGATCAATCAACAGCACTTCATGCTCGATTTGTCTAACAGAAACCCACCTGGGGAAACCCCGCGGAACGCTGCCTATTAGGAAAACACCTTAACACATTTCTTTAAATAAAAACTCGCCAGTTGGCATTAATCTGGAAGAAAATGGTTTCTCCATTAACTCTCTCCCGCTTGCACAGGCTCCTGTCTTTTTGCCTCTTTTTGGACCAACGGCCCCTAATCCCCTGGCCGGGAAAAAAAAAGAAAAAAACCCCCAAAAACCCTCCAAGGCCCCCAACAAAAGGCCGAAAACCCTGAAACTTTTTTCCTTCTTAGTTCTTGGTCTCATCAGCTTTCTGCAGACTTTATCTGGCAAAGATCTGATGCTTCTCGGTTCATTTGCTGCTTTCTCCATGCTGCCTTTGACATCTTTCTCTCCTTTGCTGAGGGTGTGGTGGGCCGCAAGGGAGTGTTAGCAGCCAGCGGAGCCCCTGCAACCTTCACTGCTCAACCAGCCAGTGCCCAGACAGCGGGAGGTTTCATGGGGGGATGAAATGAAAATCAGGTGCTCTGGAGGGTCCGCAGCCGCCACACATTAATCGCTTTTCTGTCTGCTTCTGGTAACTTTTCCAGGTGTAAAGTGGATATCTCAGCCCTCCCACTCAAGCAAGCCAATTGCTTGGAGCTGCCATTGGAAAGCTGCCTGGGGACCCTTCTGATGCTGGTCACCCTCACACCCTGTTCAGGGGTCTCGGTCTCAGATTTGTGTGTGTGCCCCTTGGCAGACCCCAGCGAGAGAAAGCAGATCGCCCAGCGCTTTGTGAGTGATCTGCCTTGCTACGCCCCCTCCCCACCCCACACCCACCTCCACCTTTAAGCTGAAACACAGTCTGGGAATTGAAAAACTGCATCCAAAGAGATCTTTGTCCAAAGTTCAATGGTATGTCTCGTAAAACAAGACATCAGACCTGGAGGTTAATGCGTTAGTGAAAAGGTGAAAGTAGATTTTAGAATTCGCCTTCCTATTTAAAAGCCAGAGAAAGTGTTTGGATATTTTACCATTCAGGATTTCTTTGGAGAAAATTGAAATCCTCAAGGGGGGCAAAAGGTTGTTTAGCATGTTTGTATATATGAATAGGTATTTTTATTTTATTTTGTTTGTCTTTTAATTTTATTTTATATTGGAGTATAGTCGATTTATTGAGTTGACCAGGAAACGTTCTTTTGGGTTTTTCCATAGGATGTTAGGAAAAATTTGAATGAACTTTTTGGTCAAACTAATGCACTGTTGTGTTAGTTTTAGGTTTACAGCAAAATTATTTAATTAAACTTGTACATACATCCATTTTTTTTTTTCAGATTCTTCTCCCATATAGGTTATTGCAGAATATTGAGTAAAGTCCCTGTGTTATACAGTAGGTCCTTGTTGACTATCTATTTTATATATAGTAGTGTGTGTATGTTAATCCCAAAGTCCTAATTTACCCCTCCCCCTAAGTTTCCTGTTTGGTAACCATAGATTTGTTTTAGAAATCTGTGAGTCTGTTTCTGTTTTGTAAAAAAAATAATAATTTATATTATTTTTAAGAACTTTAGTATAAATTCACAAAAATTGCCTTTTATAAACCAAATAATAATATTTGCAATGTCGTGCATACATTTCTAGACCCTCTTAAGATCAAGTGAGAAAGTACTTGTGTCTTATAAAGCAAAACAAAGCCCTCGAGAGGCATGGGAGACTTGTTCCACACTCCCCTGGATAAGAACTGTTTGTGAATTTTTGCCTAACTAGTTGCAATGTTCTTAAAAGTCCACTCAGCATTTTTAAATCAAATGGGTTTGTCCTCGTCACTATTTCTTGTGTTCTTGCTTTCTCGGTGTCTTTATTTGCATTCTGGTTTTATTCCATCTTCTTTGTAAATCAATACGTTTATTTTACTGCCACACACATGAAAGCCGCATTTTAAGAAAGTGGCATGGAAATGAAGCAAAGATGAATCCCCATTTAATGGGAGTATTATTCTCAGCGTAAACTTAAGTGTCTCCAGACTCCTTCACTGTGCGAGGTGTATTGATTAATTGAATAGTCCTTTATCTTCAGGAGTACAAAGTCTAGCCACGCATCTTATTGACAACACAAGATTCTGCATGCAAGGTTGACATACTTTAAAGAAGTTTTGACAAAATCCACTTTTAATATTCTCTTTGATGACTTTACTTTAGCAAATGAAAATAAAGCAAAAGTCCCCCAAATTTCCCATGGACAAATCGCAAAATTTTCCAAATTCATGAGGAGTTTCATGTATTTATAAGGTGACATTAGGTAAGATCAAAATGACTGCTTTGCATAATGCCTCAAGATTTGGGGAGTACTAATTTAAAAGAGGTTTGAAAAGGTAGAATCAAAATAAAAAGAGTAAGTGTTTTGTTTTGTTTTGTTTTGTTTTGAGCTAGAGAGCTGGCCAGTGTTTAAGAGGGGAAGAATACTGCATTGCAAGATACAAGTTCCAGATCCCTGGATTTGTTTTTTAGGTTTTGAGAGTAGATCATCTTCAAAGGCGTTTCATCTCAAAATTATGAAAATATTTTATTTCAAATGTGTCCATCTTAAATACTAGTTGTTTGTTTTTTTTTTTTAAAGATTGAAAATACTATTTGAAGAAGCAATTTCTAGAAGTTATTAGGAATGGTGCACATTACGTTAGGCAAACCTTAACTGTTATTAAGCTTTTGTGATTCTGACCTGAAATGCCTAAATAATAAGGGCCTTACTACCCTTCCATAAATCTCTGGGATCAACTTATCACAGGTTTTTAGTTATCTAGTGATGATGGAAATATTGTATCCAAAGGTTTGAAAGTACATCTTTTTCAGCAGATGTGTTTTGGAGGCAGGCAAAGAGTGTTTATCTGCTTATCTCTTTCTTGCACAATTTCTAAATGATGTGGTGTGATAGACAATTATTTCCGTAAATGCTTAAGAATTATCAGTAGGTATATTAGAGTTTTGGCACATGCCAAGTAAAAATTAAAGTAAATATGATTATAGAGCAATACTGGATGTGCAGTCTCTAATGCAGGCTCTAACATGGACTAGAAAACTCATTCTATTTCCACCCCTACTCTTTCTGGTGGTAATATGTATCCAGGAAGGGTCCAAGTTTAGTTCTCTGACACCCATAAAGTTTATTCTAACTAAGTCAGAATAATGTTGCCTTTTGGGGTGATTTAAAAGTTTCATTATAGAGAAAGAAGAAGGAACAGAGAATCAATGTCATTTTACACCCGTTTTCCTGGTGGGATGTCTGTGCTATCACCAGGGGGCAATGTTAAAAGTAGATTGCATGTGCTTTGTAATTTGTTTATTTTGAAACTGAAGTTAATTAATTCTCAGTCAGTTTGAATCTGATTGTTGCAAATGCTGAAGTTCCCTGTTGACTGATACAAGGAGCTTTGAAACTTCTCCTAGCTTTGCATGAGAAAGGTGATGATAAGTCTAGAAGGTACTTCCAGTAGGACTTGCTGGCATTAAACGATGTATCAGAAAACGGTGTTCATTGGCTCTCCTTTCCTCCCGCAGTGCTTACAGAACTCCCTGAAAGATATGAAGGACGTCGGCATTTTACAAGTGAAGGTTTTAAAGGCAGTAGATCTCTTAGCAGCAGATTTCTCAGGTATAAAAATCTTCACTTGTAAAATGCCGACGTCNTAATGCACTAGTGCATTTTTGTTGTTGGTATAATCTTAGAATGTGGTCTGCTCTCTGTATTTGTGTAACCTCAACTTCTGAGCCTGGGGTAGCTCAAACTCTGGAAAAGAGACTGTTAATTAGAAGCACTTTATATTACAAAAATTATAGAATATATGTTTAGAAAAGAGCTCTCCTCACTCTCCTTCAAAAAATGAGCCAATGGAAATCATTCTACAAGATGATCACAGTGTTAAGGAAATGCTCAGTGAGAATATTTAAAAAATGCTTTTTTGGCCAATATGAATGTAAAAGTTCTCAGTCTGTGGATGAAATACTCCAGTGAAGGCTTCTGATATTCATCAGTTTACTTACAAATGCTTATATAGGCTTAGATTGATTTAGAAATATTCCTTTCTTTTGAAACTTAGTTTATGAAAACACTTATTTCAGACGTTTCATGTGCCTTCATCAGAAGTTATTTTAGTTTTCATCCCTAAAACACATGTAAAATTACTTACCAGTTTTCCAGAGCAAATTGTGTTTTACTTCCATTTCAGTGTTGCGATACAGCACTTTTTGAATCTGTGATTGTCGATGGCTTAGTAGACATTATCTCAAGGCCCAAGAACTCATATATGGCTTTAAGCAGTATTTTCAGAAAATCTTTTTATAGTTTTATATTTTGTGATCACCAGGAACTAATTGCAGTGCATTAAAAGACTTGTGTATAGCTACATCCATATGTGGAAATGCTCTTTTAAAACTTACCTTATTTTATGCTTCCTATCAGGTGACTTCCATAAACCATCCTCAAAACTAGGATTTATGGAGGTTGTTTCAGGCCAATGTGAATTCTCCAAAGAATATTTTCACTGTTAAAGTGAATAGGAGAGAAACCTGGAAGATGAAAGTTTTTGTAAAGATCAGTCTATAAGGCAAAACCCTCTTTTCAGAAGAATAATATTGGTAGAAAATGCTACCATTTGGTCATTTTCTTTATATTCAAGATATGCAGTAGATAGTTTTGGAGTGGATGAAGGTGAGTATTAGAAGGTTCCGGTAACAAAAAGTAGTTAGAAATCAAATAATGCTATGTTATTTGACCAAATGCCCTGGTGTTTTACTGTCTCTATATTACCTATGAGAAAATTATCACTCTCTGATTTGAAGCAGAGATCCTTCTCATTAGCTAAACATGCCTTTAGACCATATGGATCTTTATTGTTAGAATCAGATCTCACAGTCTAGGTTCTTCTTAGGTTGGCTCACTTCATAGGTGAACAGATTCACTCAATCTGCTCCAAACCAAGGTGTATTCCTTTAGGGCAACAAAGTGGACCTCATCCAAAGAGTTCTAAAGCAACTTTTCTCTGTGAAAGAAGAAGTGAATTGTGGTTGCTGTGAGGTAGCAATAGGATATAATTAATACCTCCAAGATGTTAGCCATTATATCATACAGTGGCAACTTACCCTTTTTATTTCTGTTGTTGTTATTACCAATTCACTTGATATACAGCAAAAAAAAAAAAAATGCCAGCTTCACTTGATCATGGATCAGAAGAAGTACGCATCGTTGCCAGTAACAGGAACATTTAAGAAATAAGTAACTATTTGTACCCAGCATTTTCCAGTCAGCCTTATTTATAAATGAGTATTTCATTTTAGTTGCTCAGGGAACAGAGTATTCACGCCTGCAAATAAAAAGGAACTACATTTAAAAATAATTAGTTACTGCATGTCAATGTATGACAAAAAACATCACAATATGGTAAAGTAATTATCATTCAATTAACATAAATTAATTAATTTAAAAACTGCATTTACTCTGCATAGCTGGGGACCTTCTCAAAGAACAATGGTCGTCTCAAAATGGAACTTTCCAACCTTTTTACTTTTTTTTAAATGACAGTTTGTGTTTGTTGTTGTTGTAATTGTTTCTTAGAAACAATACCAAATAACCATGATAACTGATGCTTCAAGTTTGTTTTACCTAAAATTCAGGAACTCTGATAAAACAGAAGTCCATGAGGGCAGATCTTGGCAGTGGTCCCTATGGAGGTGAAGGTTACAGTTTGCAGAGTGCAGGGACCTGTTGTTCTGGAGGAGAAACGAATGCATTTGCCAGCTCTGCAATCAGTGGGTTTGCCAATTTTAAAGTTTTATCTTTGCAGGTAGCAATTAGAAAAAGAAAGTACTGGTCACTCATGCTGCTCTGATCAAAGTTAGGAGGATACAGGCAAGAATACTGGAGTGGGTTGCCGTGCCCTTCTCTAGGGGATCTTCTTAATCCATGGATCAAACCTGCATTTTCTGCACTGCAGGCAGATTCTTTACCACTGAGCCACCCAGGAAGCTCCATATATATATACATGATATATTATTTATATATCATATATATACATATATATGTACACTCACTGAGGTGGATTTCTTTGCTATTATTAGTTTAACTTTTTATATAAAGATAAAAATTAGTGCAACCTTCCAAATTTTACAAGATATTAATAACCTCAGTCTACAAGTTACCAATGTTAAGATATTTACAAAAGATAAAGACTTCAGTGTTCTAAAGTATAAAAAAAATTTATAAATTTTTCAAACTAACTCAAATCTTTGACATACTGTTTTATTGTGTGATTGTACCTACTCAGTATTAATTTAAATTTATATATAACTTGGCATTTTGTATGTGTGTCTGACATTTGTATATAAATGAGAAGACCTTTTATTTTAAAGAATCAGAAGTAATCTAACTTCCCTTGTAGTCCATCCCTCTAAAATTGGTGAAAGATATTTTAATGTTCTCTGTAGCCAATATGAGATATGGATAACCATGTGCAGTTATTCTAATACAAGAGCCTGTCAGATATTTTTATTAAAGCATTTGTCTCACAAACACCTTGCCCCAATGTAACCTAAAATTTTTAAGTAATAGGTTATCCAGTCTGATATCAGCACTTCTGTAGTAAACAAGGCCATAGCCTTGATTCACAAAACAGATGATAAATTGTACTTTGAAACTCAAGGTGAGTATAGCTGTTTGTAATGCTTAATAAGACCAACATACTTCACTCAAAACTCAGCTGTTTTGAGAAGAAATTAATAAAAACCAAGCAAAAACAATGCGGTTTCTTTCATAGACTATAAAAAGATAATCAAGTAGTTAATAGGTAAATAGAAAAATAGGGGACTGAAATATTTTCTGGCTAGAATTGTATTTCAGGGACTTTTCTGGTGATCCAGTGGTTAAGACTTCACCATAGCTGGTAAAATTCTTCATTCATTCTTTAAGTACATAATCCTTTCCCAAGAGACTGCAACTCATGCTTTGGATAAATCAGTGTTCAGTTCAACCATTCATTCATTGAAGATGAAGATCAGTCCCTGTTTGATTTGTCCTTTATTTTTATGGTATCTGCCTTTCACTTTAATTCCTGTATATTGTGGAAAAGATTGAGAGTGGGAGAAGGAGACAGCAAAGGATGACTTGGTTGGATGGCATCACCGACTCAATGGACATGAGTTTGAGCAAATTCCAGGAGACAGTGCAGGCCTGGGAAGCCTGGCGTGCTGCAGTCCTTGGGATTGTAAAGAGTCAGACATGACTTAGTGAATGAACAATGGCAACATACTATGGTATAAAAGATGTATAGAAACAGGTGTGCAAGTCTTGGTTCTACCACGTTCTAGCCATGGGTACACTTAAGCCTTTAGCTTCTCATGGGCATTTTAACAGTTAAGTTGGTGGTGGTGGTGGTAAAGAACCTGCCTGCCAATGCAGGAGACATAAGAGATGCAGGTTTGATCCCTGAGTCAGGAAGATCCCCTGGAGGAGGAAGTGGCAACCCATGTCAGTATTCTTGCCTGGAGAATCCCATGGATAGAGGATCCTGGAGGGTTATGGTCCATAGCAAAAGAGTTGGACTCAACTGAAGTGACTTAACACACAAGAAAAAACCTAAATGCACTTACCAAACACATTATTACACGCTCATTAAATGCTGTTCCCATTGTTTGTTAAAGTTATTTTTCCAGAGTGTAGTTGACATGGGGAATTTCACAGGTTATTGTCTTCTTGATATTTTGTTCATGATTTTGCTGAGTTATAAATAATGTTGGAAATAACAACATTGCTAATCACTGGTTAATCATTGCTAATCACAATAGCTTTTTAGCACTTTTGGAAATCTATAGTTACCACTCTATGATTTTTTTGTTTGTTTCTGTTTTATTGACTGATAAGAGTAAAGAAAAAATATGCTTCACAGTGGAAAATTCTCATGCTGAAACCAGTTTAGTGCTTCTATTCACATTTTGTAATATGGATAATAGTTTTATTGATATAAAATATTTTTGTGGGCTCATCAATTTTTGTTGTACATAAAAGTGCTGTCTTGAGAAACTGTTGACCAAAATACTGCGGTTAGATACCATATTGTAGCATAGAAATATTCCAGCCGTATGCTATAATACTGACTTTTGAGTAGTTTTTATAAATTATAACAGTATGTTTTTTGTTGTTTTGGGGGTTTATTTTTCTGAAACATAAGGCTGCTTGTATCAGAAGAGAAATAGTCTTACAGTTATTGTTCACTGGGACTTTTAAATCACATGTCCCTTTTCTAGTTTGTTTTCATTGTCTGCTGTTTAAAGTTGTGTTCATAACAATAACTCCCCTCTTAAAGATGCTCCATTTTCAAAGGATGGACTATAATTGCAATTTCTAGGAAGCTCAGCAATAGTCATTTAATGCTCTTAATTCATGAGAACCTCATGGCTAGCTGAGCCCAAATCAAGACCAACTTTTAAAAAACACATCAAAAATGATACAAATCTTCCTTGGCAGGCCATCTGCTTTAAAACAGTCTGCCAAGGAACATGAACTCTATAGTCGATGTATCTAGCTCCTATAGATGCAAGTCTATCGGAGATATAGCCATGTGTAACTTACTGGCACCTTGAGAGTGAATGAGTTCAGTTCATTTGTGGTGCTGTATGAATTAACGGCTTGTTC